AGTCGATGTTGATCATCATCCTGTACTACTCTATCTCAGTACCGCAGAAATCACTTGATCAAATCGCCGTTCACAACCTTCCCCTCTTTAAAAGAGAAATTGGTTCTAAAAACCTTTTTCTCTCCTTATTCCTTTTATCTGCCGGAGTTGGTCGTTCAGTATCTCATACTGGGCCAGCAGTTCCTTTTTTGCATTTTCATCCCCCTGCGCTATTCTACTTTCTAAGTCCTCTAATTTAGTCATGCTAATATAGGAAGAGTCAGTAATAAGATATAAGAATCCTATATTATAAGTTTTAAGGTAAATATATAATGTCTCTGTGATTTTATTCGCTTCATCGACATGAGTTAGAAAATTACTAAATTCCTCACTACAAATTATATCTAAGTCTATTAACTCGCCCTCTTCTTTAGACTCTACTCTGTCCTCCAATATGGCTTCGACTGCTGCTGCCATTTCCTCAGCAGTCATTTCTTTCTTCCCAGCCGTTTCTTCCTCCACCTGGTTTTCCTGAGCAGGTAGTTTTCCTTTTTCATCTCCAAGAAGACCAAAATCCAACCATTCATTAAAATCCACCTCATCCTCAATGTTTTTACTTGTCCCACCAAGGTTGAGAAGTAAGTCTGCATCTTCTAAAGATTTTAACTCCTTCAGGGACTTGGTTGCTTCTGGATGAGGTAATGTAGTAGCCAGAGGGTTCGCTGGGGGAGTTGGGATAATAGTTGGGGGAGTAGGTTTTTCTCCCTTCATATTCGTCGATGTCAGTGGGATAGAAGTCATCTTCTCCCTCTTCGAAGGCACTTTGCCCTCTAACTCTCCTGCTTTCCTCTTCATACCACTCCGCCTCAATTTCTCTTCTTCTTTTGTATTTTCTTGCTTCTTCCTTTCTTTCGTTGGGGGAGCACCAGAAGACACCTTCTTCGGATATTGTTTCTCCTCTCTTTTGGTCGAAGGTACGGAAGACCCACCCTGCTTCATTGTCGTAGATGTATTCTCCAAGTTTTTGGTAGGGGGACTTGGTCTCTCCTTGTTTGTACCAGTTGACATTGGTCCTTTTGATTGATTTGGGGGACTTGTAGATTGTTTTTTGGGAATTAAGGTCCTCTTCTTGTTGGGTTTTTGGTTGGACCGATTTGGGGACTGGCTCCTTATTCTTTTGTTTGTTTGGGGTCTTGATTCTATAGACCCTTGTGTGACATTCTTCGTCACTTGTCCATGTGGTTGTTGTGGTACCTGTGGAGGAACTTTCATCCCAGGTGGTTTTTGTGGACATTGTGGAGCTTGTGTCCGTTTCTGTGTCACTGGTGGCTTGGGGGTGGCTTGATTTAATTGTGGCTTGGGCCTGGGGTAGATATTGCTTGCTGGTAGTCGCTTTCCTGCCAGGCGTCTTCCGCTCTTCAGTAATTTGACTTGCAGAGGGGTTAAACTTCCAGCTTCTTGCCCACTGGAAGTTGTTGTACTCATCATACGACTGGATGAGTTCCCTATTCTTGATTGCAGCGAGGAGGGAGAACGTTTCTCCGATTGTCGATTTTGGCTTTCCCCAGACTGGGAGTTCATCGAGGATTGTCCATAGGGAGATTGCTTTTTGATTCTCCCTTCTGATTTCCATATAGCTTCCTGTCTGGTCAGTTTGGACTTTCCATTTGCGAGACGAGAGGTAGTGGTATTGGGCTGTATTGATTTTTCTTGGCCAGTATGGCTCGAGGTGTTTGTATACTTTGCCGAGGCATGCCCAGATGAGGGTTCTGCCTGATTCTTCTTGTTTGGTTGCTGTATAGATGGAGGAATTGGCTGAGAGAGTCCAAGCCTTCGAGCTAATGAGCTCGATAAAGATTTCTGGGGCAAGGTGTTGTCCATTGATGTGCATTTCTTGATGGTAGGTTTGATTAAAAGTGTTTTGTTTAAGAGAGTTTGTATACAGTTGCTGTTGAAAGTGTTCCACTTGCTTGAGTTTTGCTTGCTTTAGTACTTTCACTGTTGTGAAGTTGAGGTCGAGGATGGAGAAAACGGTGGGTTTATATAACTTTTGAGTATTGATAGTGTTACCTTCCACCAAATTCCGTTATATGAGCTGCCATGATTCCTTAACGATTGTTCTCATTAATTTGTGCTAATTAATATCTCTATCTTTAGGCGACAAGTTCAACTTGTTTATGTCTGCTGACAGAATTATTTTTAACACGCACCAATAAGATCATTATCGAAAATTCTTTCATCGCTCATATGCCAAGAGTTTTGTAGATTTCGGGGAACAAGTCCGCAAAACCATCTCTATACAAGGCATGTAACGGTATCAGGCGATTCAGTGTTTCACCTTTTAAATTCATTTATCTTTACATGGTAAACAGAATTCTTATCGTTTCTCAGATGACTAGTCATCCGATTCGCAATTTGAAATTGTTTAACCACGCAAATTAATTATTTGAAATAAATATGTCGAATAAGTCTTACGATTACGATTTCAGCGTTACTCGGGCGCTTAATTTCGATTTATCATAATTCGAATTCGCGAATATTCCAATCTTTTGTCTTGGCATGACTTCCGACTGGTTCTTCTGACATATTATCGTGTCGAATCTTTGACAATAAATTGCCAAGTTCCATTGTCGCGGATTAGATTCCGTATCGTACAATCATAACAACAGATTGTTTATATACGCCAAATACTTAATTTGTAAATGAACGCACGGAATTCTGCCGATGATTCTTAGATCGTTGATAATCGTTTTATGTTTGGTCCTTGTATTCCTCGAATTTGCTTCCTCATGACTTCGCTTGGCGTCGTCAATCTTCCAACAATCTTATCAATTCACTTTTGTATAACACGTATAATCCACCGATTTTTTCCTATTGTTTACTAATGGAATTCTACAATTGAATTCCCCGTTCGACAGTAAGGATTATTTCAGTTTCATATCTTAGTATTGTTGTGGCACACGTACTATTAGTTCGTGTCGAATTTAGTTATGTATTACCCTAGATTATCAGCTCCGGGCTGAATTACTAATTTGGGTAATAAGGGTTTTCGAATATTCTTTGTGTTTGTGTGTACGTTCTATTTGAATAAAAATCGAATTTTGTAATACGATTTTGAATTTTGTGCCCCTCGCTAACCTTCCCCTGTCAAAATCTTGTCATACGACAAAGATTTTAACAATATCATTGGTTAACGTATTATCGCAATTGATTAATTATTATGTGGGTTGCTCGCGCCCTCACTATCTCCAATCAGATGGCCGCATCCAACTGATCTTTGACTCAATGTCTTTTTAACTTTCTGTTATTTTTACGGCATAAAATTATTCTTAGTTTATACTCTTTCACAATCTAATGATTGGTCCTGGCCGTTGACAGGAATCGGAGTTAATCCAATAATATTGCGATATGAATTTTCCTTGTATAAAAAACCCTTATGAACTAAAAGCATTTTCGTTGATCTGTGTCCTTGCCCAAGGGTCCCGTGGTGCTTCACCTAACGGTTTATCTGTCCGCGCTACGCGTTATAGAAAGGCAATATTACTAAGTGTGTTATACGTATCAAACCAACCATTCAGACTTTTGCACAATGGCGTTGTCTAAATCTATTTTGAATATGTTCGCACTAAAATTTTATATTAAAATTGAAAATTTCATAGATGCGTCGTAGCAATCTCAGGCCAGTCTTCGCATGGCGTTGACTCCTTTGATTAAGTTCCAAGGTCGACTAATTTACTAGTGG